GATGGGATTTGTAGGCCTGCAGTACAGTAACGCAGCAGTGACCGTGACAGTGCCCCTGTGGACTCACGAGTTCCTGCAGGGGATGTAGGAGCCGTTGGTCAGCTGACCACAGTTTCCATATTTGTTTCCCTTTTTGTTCACAGACGAGAAACAGACGGCGGGAGCGCTGGTGGCATCTGAAGACAGAAATAAAAACCAGTCACAAATGCACGTTTTAAACTGGTTTAAACCAAAACAGCCAAAGTTTAGTCAGAGTACAACAGAAACCAGGCTTCAAACAGGAGCTGGCTCAGTGCAAACTGGTTTAAGCTTTGTTGGCTTCAGTGTTGGTTCACTGTGCGGGTCAAACTCACTCCAGGTCGCTGGTACGTGAGGTGCAATCAGATTTAGGCTCAAATAAGCTGTGACAAATTGTGATTGATAGGAGATTTAGACTCGGTTTAAATCTATCTGCTCATTCTCAGCTGTGTCGTCCTCACACAGCTTTAAGTCCTCATTTGTGGCTCACAGTGATCATTTCCTCCATGTTTAATATAAACATCCAGCACAGGACAGGAAATGAGGGACAGGTACAGACTGGAGTCTTACTGGGTCCCCACAGCGTCTGGCACTGGCTGTGCATGCTGGCGCAGACTCCTCCATAGCAGTAGGAGGCGCCCTCCTCACAGGGTTCCCCGTTCTGCAGAAATACATTGGGGGGGCAGTAGGGGGAGGAGCCCGTGCAGTACTCAGGGAGGTCACATTCCCCGAGAGGCTCACGACACACCGAACCCGCCGCTCGCAGCTGATGGAGGAGGAAGAGGAGGAGTTAGATGAAAATATTGCAGGAAACATTGTTTTTATATTTGTGGGCATCGACGTCAGCCTGACCTTACAGTCCTGGCAGCAGATACCATCAGATGAGCACTGAGCTCCAGGAACCAGCTTACAGGTGGAGGCGTTACAGCAGGGGTCCTCACACTCCTGACCAATCAGAGCACAGCAGCACATCATCAAGAAGGAGAACAAACCAAAGTAACGTGTGTGGCCTTCATCACTGCTAGGAGTGACGAAGAGTAACTGTGACTGAAACTGAAGCAAACGTGCTGCAGAAGCAGGTGAACAGGCGAGTACCTCCAGCAGGCCGCAGTCACACTCCTCTCCTTTCTCCACGTAGAGGTTTCCACAGCGAGGTCCTCCCAGCAGGTGCTCCGGCTGTGGCACGTTGAACAGACACATACCGCCGCCGTGCAGCAGGCTGACGGACAGATCTGCAGCGCTGCAGCTGCTGAATAGCTGACCCGGCATGAACCTGAGGTCAGAGGTCACAGGACACTGGTATTACACGGCTAGAAACGAACCAGGAAAGCCTCAGGACTGAAAAATGACACCGAAACTGAACCTGCGGCTCCTCTAATGGCCACATGAGGCACACATGAGCAGAGAGCCAGTAAACAACAGACACATTAAGGCTGCGTCACACGCAAACGGCGTTTTCGATCACTGATAACTGAGATTCTTTAAAACTCCTGCCAGGGTGCAGATTTTCAAAAACTCCGTTTTTGCGTTTACGTGTGGACGAGGAAAACTGAGAGTTAGTCACGCAACGTCAAAGCTGTGCGCCTTGTTTGATGTGGCGCTGTGCGCCACGTTGTTGTTTACATCAGATTATTTCTACAGTGGCGGATGGAGACAAAATACGATGGCTGTTAATCCGACTATCTGCAGTTTTGTCGTGCTTACATTTACACACACAAAGAAACAAAAACGGAAAATCTGTGTTTTCAAAAATACCCGTGTTCATGTGGACGTAGCCTAAGAAGTCCGACTTTACAGCATATTTACAGCCTGATGCAAAAACCAAACGCTTTGGTCTCTGTGGATCATTTCATTTAGGCTTTATCGGGTTTTTAAACGACAGACTGAGCTGATCGAACAGGAAACACGATCCAGCACCGGAGCTAAGGTCACGGTTCACCTTTGTTTTCAGCCTGAAGTGCGAACTCTGACCTGACGGGTCCGAGGGCGTAATAAGAGGTACTTATTGAAAATGAATAGAAAATTCAACAACCTTATTTAACTCTATTTGACCGGGCGAGACATTAAGAGCACATTCTTTGGGAAAAGGGGGAACGACTAAAAGCAGCTGTGCTCCTGCTGAGACGAGACCTTTAAGACTTCAGAGATGTAAAGCAGTTAAAGCACAGAGTAAAGAGAGAAGCAGGACTCCAGCGATGAGTCTCAGCGGGGTTGGGGGTTCTGGTCTGATGCTGACCCGGGTTAAACAGTCTGGCACTGACCCGGTTGAGGGCTCCATGATGCAACCCCCGAGCCGCGGCTCGTTCTGGCAGGAGCAGTGGCGCTCCGCGGTGTCGTGGCTCATCCCGAGGTTGTGACCCAGCTCGTGAGCAACAGTTGAAGCCACGCCCAGAACACTGACCAGGTGATCCTGACAGGAAGAGAGAAATCGCTTCGTTTTTATGGAGCCAAGTATTTTGTCAGTAAAGTGTAAAAAGATCAAAATGTTTTACACTAAAATCTTGTTCGGCTAAAAATGTAAACGAATCAGTAAATCACAGCGACACAGGAAGTAAACGGAGCTCGACGCGAAGGCCGACTCACCACGTTGACGCCGCCCGACCTGTCTCTGGAGCACATGGATGACTGAGACGCCATCCCCACTGTGGTGCCGTCAAAGGACCCGCCCCTGTGAAGAAGAAACGAACACGTGACGACCCGAACCAGGAGCGATGCGAGACTTTTATTTTGGTAAGTGCTCCTACATGACGAGCTGGGCGTTGTCATGGCGAAGGCGTGGCAGCAGGTCTCTGGTCCTCCACTCCAGGAAGTTGCTTAGGGTGTCGGTCGGGCTCTTCTCCACACGGATCTTGTCGCGGTCGCTCCAGATCTCCAAACCCGTGAGCGCCACGCGGACGTTCAGGGGACGGTAGAACTGAAACAGGAAGAAGAGGCGGTTCAGGTGCGCTGCTGCTGCTGCAGCGTTACAGAGGCCGGCTGTGACAGGAAGTCAGAGATCTCACCCAGTCCACCTGGTTGGCCACGTCCAGCATGCGGTAGATGATGGTGTTATTGTTCTTCTGGTAATTCAGAAACTGTGGAGCAGACTGCAGCTTTAGTCACATCAGGATGGAACAACCAACATGTTAAACTGCAAATCAAATGCAGCAAACGACAAAGAATCAGTCGGCACATTTCAGGGTGAAACAAACTGCTGCCATCTTGTGTCGAGAACGCGGTACTGCGGGTTAAAAACCCCAAACAGCTGAAACTCTTTAAAAGACATTTGTTTGGCTCGCTGCAGCACGCCCCTCCTCTCTGCTCCAAACGCCAGGCCATGTTAATTGTCAAATCACATGACCTTTGCAGGTCAGAGGTCACCGCTCTGCTGCATTGAGCCGGGTCCCATCAGACAAACCTGTGAAATCCTGCTTTGAAGAGGTAACTAAGGCTACGTTCACACTGCAGGCGAAAGCGCATCAAATCCGACCTGGGTCACTGTCATGTGGTGCTGAATCCGATACATATCTGATGTTGTAGAAAGCGACTGCTGTTTGATGGTCACGTCGCATTAAATCCGTCTTTTACGTCACTGACACAAGACAGACGCCGATTATCAGCACCGGAG